AGACCCCCAGCGTGTGCTTGAATCCTGTCTGCTCTGATAACTTTATAAGTCATTGTTCTGTAGATACTCCTTTGCTGACTTGAAAGATCCCCAATTGATTTTCGCTAATAAGTCTGTGGTGTTGACAGCCTGCTTTTTTCCCCCAAAGTCTTGTTTCTTGATTTTGATTTTTTTTCCTTTGCTAATGGCATGTGTTTCTTTGCTCCCTTGTATGCTGTAAACATTACTGACTGAAAGCACTGAGCTGACAGCGTAATAAATCTCATTTAAGCCCACTGCTCTGACACGCCTGTTTGTCTCTCAGATCCCACAAGCTCTGCAAATAAACATTTTCTCTCGCGGGTCGGTCTTCTGATGTAACAAGCATCCCCTTTTTTATAACAAGGGGGCGAACAAAGGTGTTTACTTGTCAGAACACAATCAGAGTTTTGTGGGGCTGTAGACGTATGGGCTGGACCTCGGAGCCAAGATGACCTTCAGTCAGTCCTGTGGGCCGAAACGGGTACTCAATAAAAACTCAAGGCAGTAATGGGTACTCAGTCAGTGCTCAGGGTAGAAATGGGTACTCAATCAGTGCTCAGGGTAGAAATGGGTACTCAATAAGTGCTCAGGGCACTACCATATACTCAATCAGTGCTCATGGCAGTAATGGGTACTCAATCAGTACCCAGGGCACTAACATGTACTCAGTTAGTGCTCAGGGCAGTAAGGGTACTTAATCAGTGGTCAGGGCAGTAATGGGTACTAAATCAATGCTCAGGGCAGTAACAGGGACTCAATCAGTGTTCATGGCAGAGATGGTATTGGTGATGGGTGGTAAGCAGATAGTTGGGCCTATAGTAAAAATTTTAAGGTAGTCAATTTAAAGGTTATAATCCTACAGTAAAGCCCATGAATGATCTCTTACCAAAACAATAGCCTGTCGAAGGTAGCAGCATTTGGGATAATAAATGGCAGGTATTTTTTTAACTAAATTCACTTCCAAACAGCATTCCTTTTATATAGGTTGTTATTCAAGCCGAAGGTGTATGGAGTGTGGCATCCAGATGGAATATCTGGTGCCGTAAATGGCAACAATTAGTCCCTTTAATGATGCAGCATGTTTCGTAATTAACCAGAAATGACAAGTAGGCAAATTTCATTTTTTGTGACAGAACAAAATGGTTATTTATGTATAAATTGGGCTAAATGTAGGGTGACCTTGTGATTTGATTTTACTGTGATTTACTTTTAAATGCTTTAATCCTGTTCATACAAAATCGGGGTTCTTGGTGAGCACACTGACACAAGAGTGGAATTGCGTAAACAGAGAAATTATTTTTGCATTTTCAATTTCTCCATTGCAGAAAATCCCCTGTTTCTTTCTCATTGTGGCTCTAGGACTGGCAGTGTATGATATTCTTTTTTAATATGTTTTTTGTGGGTTTTTTTGGGGTCATTGGATGCTTTCCCTCAGTTGTTCTTTGGGTGGCGCTGTTGCCATCTGTTTCCAGAGGCATGGGGCAGAATCCAGGCCTGATCATTCCTTACTTGTTTACATTTAGGCCTCGTGTCGCTTCCTGCTGCAGCTCAGCAACATGGCGATCACCAACACAGCTAACTAATCTTTCTTGCTGTCATGTTATTCCATGCATGCATGTTTGTATGTATAACAGTCCTGCAATACCCAAGATGGTCTCTGGATCGCCTCAGTTCTCTTTGGGCTACTGGGGTATTGAAAACAAATGGATGGGTGACCACCTCTCTCTCAATAGGCTTGGAGAGCATAATGATGGACGGTGCCACCTTTGAAGCTGCAGCTCCCCTCTCTATTTTTAAAAATCACCTGGGACTGGCTTATTGTAGAGGCTGCAGGCTTAAGCACCATCTTTCCAGAGCCTCTCTGGGCTGCTCTAGCAGTTGATGAGCCGGACTTCTATCCGAGAGGTTCTCGTACCTGTGTGAAACATCCAAAGCAATACAAATTTTGCTGAAGCAATTCAAATGAGGCACTTTGCTCAAAGGCACTACAGTCAATTACCTTCAGGATGAGCCTGTGTCCTCACCAACGCTGTAATCTGCATAAATGTAGCACAGTGCTACCTAAATAGTGTAGTAAAACGTACTGTACCTTTTGAGAACGTTATTGTCATGTTGCTCTTTGATGTTGGAGAATTCAGAAGTCTCGCTGAACTTTGCAGTGTTTTTGCACTCATATTATCCACGAACATAGTTGAAAAGCCAGCCTACCAAAAAAAGCATCCATAGCATGTTTTGGGCTCTTATCCAATGGGAACTGTTCTTTTTGGATTGTGACATAACAAAAAAAAAAAAACGTTTGGACTTCTGTTCAGCTTCAGTCAGGTAATCTGTAGCTTCACAGTTTCACTAGATTTTGCACGGACGTGTCAAGAGGGACCAACAGGTGTGTGTGGAGCTTTACGTTCTTAGTCATCCTGCCGTTCCTCACCAGCCAAGCTGAACACAGCCAGAAGGATCCTCAAACTGAATGAATGGCAAGAAAAGCAGGAAATATCAACAGGATATTATGTCTCCAACTGTACTTGTAACATGGATCTTTCAGGAAAAAAAAGTATTCAGTGCCCGTTCTCATACATCTTCATTTCACCGGAGGGAGAATACAAAGAAGGATCAAAAGAGCACATCACCAGGTCTGATGCTGAGCTTCGGAGCGTCAGATGTGCGGCTGCCGGAAAACACTCTTCCTGGTTACATGTCAGCGCTGCAGTTTTCCCTTCAGCCTGTTTAAACCACTACAGTACATGTACAGTATTACTTTAGTTTAATACATGTACGCTTAAGTTCATGAATGAGTGATTGATTTAAAATATAACTTAATTTATTACTGCCTTGTCATTCTCCACAATGGTGAATATTGGTAATAGCAGTTACCAAATAAGGGTGCATCGCTGGAAAAGCTGTACATCAGCCTTATTTACATTGCAAAACTCTGTCAGGCCCTCGCTAGTTCACAGCCTGTCACACTAAAATTCTTCTTCAGTCTTTTACAGTCATCCAAGTTTCTCAAACAATATTTTCTCGCACCCTTTGTGTAATTATAATGGCTTTGTGTTCCTGACAGCTATTCCGTTAAATATTTGCCCTAGTGCCATCGTCAAGCTGGCACATTTCTGTGCGGGATTTGAAATCAACGTTTAAGTGAGAGAGTAAAAGAAGGGGAGCTGTTAGGCAAGGGAAAGCTGCAGATGCTGCGAGTCACGTTAATCACGGAGATCACATCTCCACGCCTGAGAGAGTGACGGCCAACCGCTCTCCACTGTCTCCCAGTCGCTGAGATGCCTTCAAAGTGGGCTATCGCCGGGCTCAGCCTCGACGCCGAGGCCACGCCTCTCAGTGTCCAGGCTGGGCCAGGCAGAACCGCCAGAGGACCGTGCTCACGCGCTCCTGATTACGGGCTTAGGGAGACAGTGTGCAGCTGGGATCCGACCTGACGGCGCAGGAGGATGGGAATCAGAGGGGAGCTTTACGAGCCTAAGAGCGAAACTACTTTAGGGACTGTAAAAAAAACCTCACAAATGTGCACACACACACACACACACACACACACAAACATTGAGGAGAAATGCACTTAATCTCGCTCCTCAGTTCCTTCTGAGAGTGGCTCTGCTGAGTACCATGCTGGTTTTAGCTTTTTATAAAATGTGTTAACGGGCACAGAACCCAAAGGCAGCCAGCTCCCAATACAGGGTCACAGCTGCGCTTTTGAGAAAGCGTCCAAATCAAAGCAGGAGATGTGCCCATATAAAACAGAGCCACATGTAAGTCACCCAAACCCCAGCTAAGATAATATTTTACACAACATTAAAAATAAACGTACAATCACACATAAATGAATAAGTTAAGCCCTGCATTGCATAGATGGCTATTGCTGTTTTTCCGGGATGACACTCTTTTGCAGTGAGTGGACACAGTGCACATATCTTTAATGACTGCACAAGAAGCTTGATGAAGGCTTAAAAGTTCCAAATGTCTTGGGAGGGCATGAACTCCTGAAGTTAAAGTAGCTCTACATAAATGCAGGAGGTGGGCCACGGGAGCAAAAATATGTAGTGCAGTCCCTGAGGGCATGGTGTTTGTGCTGGCAGGGTCCCAGGCATGACCGTCTGCTGGGCCCGAGGTCAAACGGAGGTGTGTCATACATGTGCTATTAGCAAGGGATGCCAAGCCGTAATTAGGCAATGGGATCATATTTAGCATACTCCTTCCTGGTAAACACACTGCATGGCATAATGATAACCATTTCACTTTAAGGATAATTATGTGTTTTGAACGGTGCCCTTCCCCCTTCTTATCCCTGACTCCTACGCGCTAAGGCAGTGTTCTGACAGACAGCAAGCGGTGCGGAAAGCTACAGCCACGCCAGATTCGGAATAATCCGGAGCGCTGTAATCGAGGCACTCGGCGGGCCCCCGAGCAGCGCGTCGGGAACACGAGCTGCGTCTGCGCGCGTGCTTCTCAATCTGACTCCTGCTCCGTGTTCGGTCTCAGGTGGCTGCTGGGGGAAACCACTGCCGCTGCTTTGCGTGCTTTAATCAAAGTTGGAAATAAATCACTATATTCACAGCGATTTTACATGAAGATAAACGTCTTGCTTATCTGTAAATGCCTCTGCCCCTCCTGCATTGGGCACTGCCACTGTCCCGTAGGTGTGAGACAACGGCGCTAACCGTGCTCAGGTGCTGTCACGTACCGTGCCACCCCAATAATTTTTTTTTACCATTTTTCCACAAATAGGTAGCCAAAATCAGTAATACAAAACTACATACAATGTTTTTAAAATCTTTCAACTTTATTATTATCAGGTAAAGTAAAAGAAGTTTAACGGTCAGAACCCCCTAAAATCTCAGATATTTGTCCCGCTCTGTTGCGAGCGTATCTGCAACAGTCTATCTGGCACGCTGTTGGCTGACTACGTGTAAACGCAAAACCTGATTGGTCGATAACTTGTATTTAAGGTAGTCTGGGACAAATGTAAGTGAACGAACATAAAGTCAATTTAAACTGGGATACCGTGAATTAAATAGAGAATTTGGGCCTGTATCATGAAGCTGGATTTCTTCTTACTTAGCCCGATAACTTGTCGGATATCAGGTACCCTAGATTAAGTAGACTTTTATCTTCGTTCACTTACACTAAGCCCAAACTACCTTTAATGCGACAAGTTATCCACAAAGCAAGAAACCCTGCTTAATTAAGAAATCCCCCAATTGTATTTTCCAGGTTCTGATTGACACCGAGACCTTCCTTCCTAGTTCCGGGTCCCCAAGCGGCTTCAATGAGGGCAAAATGTGAGCACTAGCCAGTTGCGGAATAGCACTCCTCCGACAAAAACTCGTACATCTTGCAAATGGAATATCATTGAAAGGAATTTTATTCCGGAGGTTCTACAGAATCCAACAATTTACAGTTGGGTAAGTCCCAAATACCCCCAGGTAATCACTCGGAAATGAATTGCTAAACAGGTTAGAATTTCAGCTTTCTACGTATATTTTTAAAGGCAGGGTTACCAACTGCGATCACCTGACTGGCGTCAATTCAAGACAAATCTGCACACACAGTCGCACGCATTTACATGTATGTAACAGTTTTATTACATTTAAATAGTCTGTAGGGTTTGCAAACTACCCCAAGGCTTTTGATGTTGCGAATTTCAGGTTTATGGCGGAATAATACAGATTTGCCGTAAGATTCCTTGCGTGAGCGTGAGAGTCTGAAATCGTGAGTGTCTCGCCTGATGCGCGAGAGCCTAATAGAACAAATAATTTCATTGTCATTTTGTGATTCATGGTGCAAGAGCACTTCATACATTCATACAAGTAAGCCTATCACAACCCAATCCATGGAATAGGAGTTTGAGGGCCGATATAAACCTGATGTAAATTGTTAGAATAGGCTAAAACAATTACACAATTATCTTATAATCATGCAAATATAAAACACATTTCACTTAGTAGTACATATAATAGTAGTAATAATAATAATAACTGATTTTAATAAACCCTGTGGGGAAATTCTCCTTACTCCTCCCCGTGGCCATGAAGGGCAGCCACCTGTTGGGGTGCCCAGGGAGCTGGGGGTTAAGGGCCTTGCTCAAGGACCCACAGACATTTGAAAAGCTGGGCCATTTGAATGTGTACCAGGGTGGTATATAAGGTCAATATATGCATCTACCATCTAGACCAGGGGTGCCCAACTCCAGTCCTGGAGGGCCAGAGTCCTGCACATTTTTGGGTCGCCCCCCATTTTACACACCTGATTCAACTCCTTGTGCTAATTACCACACAGTTCTTGAGCTGAATCATTTATGGTGGAACAGGGAAAGAACTAAGCTACACAGGGCTCTGGCCCCCCAGGACTGGAGTTGGGCACCCCTGATCTAGAAAATAAATCAATTTTGTAATTATTTATGTTTTGCTAGATTAAATGATATTCCTGTGTCATGTGATTGCATTGAATTTCTTTAAACTGAAATTAAATTCTCCTTTTTGTCATTCAAATTCAAATTCCAGTTCATTAATGGAATGGGGGAACAATTCATAAATTCGAAATATCCCTGATACATAATGAGCTAACTTGCTATGTGTTCAGTCACATCCTTTGAATTGGGAAGGTGAACTACCCGTTATGACCAGCAATGACAAAGAACTGTGCAACTCAGCTGAAGATGGCATTTCAGACAGTGTAGTCTAGGAAGCCAAATTGCTTGTCTAAATGCTTGTTTTGCTCGTGGACATGAACCCCATGGACCAACTCAGCAGTGAGCAATTCATAGAGCAATACAGGCTGGTCTGGGGTGAAATAGCGAACCTCCCTGGTGTAGTGCAGGATAAACTGAAAAGAGGAACAAACACACTGGAATTTTGCCCTTAGTGCACCGTGCAGCTTCTGACAGCTCTCTGCTTCTACACCTCTGCTGGATTCTTGCAATTCTTGCAGACCTACAGATGCACTGTGCTGTGTTCTGCATTTGTGCATGTATTGATCACATTTCTATTGCACTGTGCGCACAACTACATCGATGTTTTAGCTGGAGCAGTTGCCTTCTGTGACACTACAATTGGTTTTCATGCCATTTCAGGCAATTTAATTGCAGTGGATGGAACGCTCAACCCGATTCATACTCGCGGCCTCTTGAGTCCTATCTGCACCTGTCGAAAAGGGCACTTGGCATCAAGGACATTTTACAGACATTGTGACCAAGTGACCTGGGAGTACAAGTGATGCTTATATCTGGTCCAGCTTTGGATTGTGTCAGATGGCAAAGGATGGTGTGTTTGCTGGTGGCTGGTTATTGGGACACTTCAGTTATGCTCTTAGCAGATATCTGCTGACTCTAGTGATGAATCCCCACACCATAGCTGAATGAGGTGTAGCACCCCGCACCAAAGAACACGCAGCTGCAGAGTGTGCTCTGGGCAGGTGGAGGATGTGATTCTAGGACCAGCACAAGTCCTTGGGAGCTGTAAGACTTTCCTCAGAATGCTGCTATGTTGGTATTGTAGTGTCTGCTATTCTGCACAACACTGCAGTAATTATTTTGTTCAAATATAGTTTTGGTCACCTACTCAATCAGTTGTTTTAACGATTATTTTGAGAAGTTACTTCCTGTTCCTAGTACTGCTAGCCATTATTCTATTTTCCAAGAAAGCAACATCACATTTCGAGCCCATTTATATATTTTCAGCAAATAGGTTAATTTATTTTGTTTTTAATTTTGGCCGCTTTCGTCTGTTTTTATTGGATTTCCAATTAGTTTCTTTCTTTTTTTTACATTTTCATATGTCTGTTGTGACAATTATATAATATATTTCATCAGTGAAATACATGGGATTGATGTCCCTGTTATGTCTTTGTTTTTCACAGAGGCTGGAGAGGAGCCAGCAAAGTTCTACTTAAAGTTTGATTGTTAATTCTGGAATAACAAAGGGTTTTGGGAAATGCTTGCAAATCTTGTTCGTTCTTTACCTACGTCATTCATTATCATGTTTGTTATTCACTAAGATCGATCGCGTTCAGGAAACACACCCCTGATTAACTACCCAAGACGCACAATCGACAGTTTAGACAATAAGGTTATGTAACTTGAGTCTGTCTTCAAACTATTTTTAAAAATAAGAGAAAGTTAATATGTTACTGAGTTTGTGACAATGACCCACATACTTCCCTTTGTGTTAATTATACATCACTTTTGGGATTTATGGTATAAATATTTATGATTATGTTTTAATAGTGGATACGATTAATCACAGAAAACTGTGATTTGTTATTTTTTTTAATCGATTCACAGCCCTAATATACAGTTGTTTTCTATGAAGTGGGCTTAATGTTTCATTTTAAATCAGAGCCATGAGATGCCCCCACTATTAAATAGAACCATCACTATTAAGTTCTGGCATTTTCATTATTCTGAATGGTAGTCTCAAAATAAAAAGAAAATAATTATGCATTGAGTTGCATAGGTCCAAAAAAGCAGCCTTAACGTAAAACTCTCCACTCCAGTCTGCCAGGAGCATTTTCTTCGTCAATTTATAACAGTACTCTTAAAACAGAAGGTGAATGTTTACCAACAAAAAACTAGAACCTAAATCTAAAACCTATTTGGCAAATGGCTCTAAAATTAGAAGCCTGACAGCTATTGAAAGTGCACTTAAGAACTGAAAAGACCTTCATTTTAAGTTATTGCACATCAATTAAATTAATATTGCAAATTACAATATTTTTAACCTGTGAGACATTTTGTCAATCTTGTAAAATGAAATGAAGCAAACCTGTGATCAGAATACTCACTCACTCACTCAGTCTATAGTTTCCGCTACCTAGATCACTCGCTAGGGGATAAGGGCAGGTACAGTAGTGCTTGATACATTTCGGATACTAGGTACTGTTACGCTGCTGCCTAATTATGCATGGGATATTCGTAATTATCTCTGTTGCATAAACAAACACTAGAACAGTGATGTTATTTTTGGATAAGTACACATTCACATATGTCTTCACAAAGTTGAAATAAAAATAAAATGAATATTTTCAACACAAAACACACATAAATTTATTTAAAACATACTATGACTGTACTGTGTCCACCTATGCAAGTATGACAGGGACTGCAGCAGTAACTGTGGTGTTTTGTACTGATCTTCGATATACTATATATTAATTGTGAATTAACATTACCTATGCAAAGTAGTGAAATACATGTTATTAAAGCAGAGGTAGAACATGTGTTCTGCCCTTTTTTCCTACCTGACAAAGCATTACAGCGCATGCGCAAATCAACATTACTCACACGTCTACAAAGTCTGAACATTTTTGCTACCCTTGCGTGTTAATGTAGTTTATCTTAAATATTATTCATATTATTACATTAATTATTACAAATAATTGAGGTGATATATTTCTTGCATTCTTGTGTACTAACAAATTCTGTAAACATGGGATTAGATTTTACCATTAAACTCGACAGAACACATGTATTTGTTTTGCATTTGACACAACTTTAAATTATAGTATTTGTTTTAATCTAAATAAAAATATTTCATTTCAGTAGCACCTAACACGATTTAAGTTTCTGTTTTCCTGGAACTAAACTTGTTTGACATTACATTCTTACCCTGGTGAAAAAAAACTGCTATCCCTCTTAAAACTATAGATAGCGGCGCTGTTGTTATAACTAATGTGCAAGTATTTCATAAATGAGCTATTTAACAAAGGTTGACGGTTATAGTGCAGACTGAGCACTAAAGCCCCCATAAAAAAGGTCTAACGATGCCCCTGAAAATGCATTAGACCTACATCCACAAAATGACCATCCTTCATTCATGAAATGCATTTTGGCAACTAAATAAATTCACTTTGTGTACAAAATGACTCTCTTTTTATTCACTTTTTAGATACATTCTGCCTTATGTCTACAAAATGCAAGGTGCCGATATCAATTTCATACACAAAATGAAACCTTCCTTTTGATATCTGTACATTAAAGAAAGTGACGTCTTTATGCTGTTGTGGACAGAATGTAACTGCAGTTTGGCTTTCTATGGACAAAATGCAGCAAGGCGTTACTTTATTTCATCATTAAATAATCCTTTTTGTGGCACATCATGTATTTTGTGCACGAAAATGAGCGCTTGACACTTGGCGCCCCATAAATCACAGCAGCCCATTTTATGCCTTATCTGCCCCTGCTGTAAAGACTGAGAAAATGTCTAAACATGCGACAAAATGAATTCTTACATCATGTTCATTTTATTTATTATTAATTATAACATTTGTGTTTATTACCAGTGCTTCATAGTTACACATTATCATTATGTGATAATGAATTGTCTGCCACAGTTTGGAAATTAGTCTTGGAATATATTGTTGTCTGTTGTTTTATGTGGGCTTCTGGCCAAAGATTATGCAAATTTAA